ACGAGGATTATTGCGCGGACTATCCTTCCGTAGTATCCAAATCTTCGGATTCGGAGTCAGCTTCGAGCTCCGAGGAATCCACTCGAGGAGTATTAGGCGCTTCGTTATGGGCAACCACTTCGTAATTGTCCACGTCATCATCGTCGTCTTCTTCGTCAAAGTCATTGAAGCCTACTACACTGGGTCTCGTCGGACCAGAATCGGAGTACTTTGAAGTTCTATTACTATTACTGCCCCTTTCGAAACCATCTTCATATCGAGAATTATTTTCACGGCCATCGAACTTGTGCTGAGAATCTGCGAACTCGAACTGAGCAACATCTGCTCCATCAGATTCGTTGTCGTCAAAATCGAAATTCCAAGCGCCAGTTCTTTCGGATAACTTGTCTGTGTTCGTTCTTGGACCACCACGTTGTTGTTGTTGATGATTGTTTGAGAATTGACTTTCACCGTATGTGTCGGGCGGGCGCTTGTGCTCGCAGTGGAAACATGCTGTGTTTCTCCTATAGTTTAGGAAATTGCACCTGTACAACCATCCTCAAGTCAATCAATTATTACATTAAACTGGTATGGGTATGCCCAGTGTATTTGTAAAGTCCGTTTTGATCTATATATTTCACATTTACCGATCAAAAAAAAAAAAAAAAAAAAAATTATTACATTAAACTGTAGAATTATCTAATTTTGTTAATCACAAAATAATTTTTTTTTTTATCTTCTTTTTCTTCGCACTTCTAATCACACAAACGCGCGCGCACACACACACACACACACACAGAGAGAGAGAGATGGTAACGTACTCGGGGCATTCCCATTCGCCTGGAAGCAACTGTCTCTTAGGACGCTTGGCATCGCATTGGAGGCACACAGTATTTTTGGCAAAGTTCATGAAGTCGCACCTGATAAATTGATAAGCGTAAGCAAAAACCAAAACCAGAGTCATTTACGTAATAACATCAGCACAAAATGCAATAAAAAGAGTATCAAGTAGTTATGTACCAAATGGTGAGCCTAGCTTTTCTTATGCTATTTAATTTCCAGGACCCCAACATAACTGAATTACACCATAGATAACTTCACCTAAAATTATCTATAGATTCAGAACTTAACTGTCAATGTAATATTGGGCCTCGTTTGATTCCTAAGATAAGATTAGCCAAGATAAGATTAAATAATCTTATGAAAACTCAATTGTATAGTTGGACCACAGGAAGTCTAATAAATAATGTCCCAGTGAAAAAGATCAGAGCCATTTTTTTTCCACAATTGAGAGCCGGTCCAAAAAGTTATTGGACTAACCAAACATCCAATAAGATCCAATTATTTAATTTATCATGGCGTAATCTTACCAACCAAACGAGGCCTTAGAGGATTAGGGTCAAGTAGGATCCCTATTTGAGCCTGTTATTTTAGGTCATATATAAAATATGTTCTACAGATATATTACCAAAAGACTCTAAGGACTTCGACAAATGATGAACAATTCACAAATAAAATCACAATAATAAATAAAAAGCCGTGAAACTTACTTTGCACAGAGCCAATCACCCTTTTTCATTTCAACATCGTCGCGCCCGACTCTTCTTTTAGGAGTGGGAGGTGGTTGCTTCACCTTTGGCGGAGGCTTCTTAATTACGGGAGGCGGGAGATTCGGATCTATCGGAACTGCACTTAGCTTGACTACCTCATGGAGCAATTTTCGAACAACGGTTTTGACAGATTTCATTTTTAAAAGGGATTTATTTGCAACTGATCCCTCAGTTGGATCGAAACCATACTCAAGTAGGATTCGCATTACGTCAATTGTTCGAGCTTCATCCTCTTTATTTGTGAGCAGATATGCCTTTTCGCAAGAGCTCCTCAGACGGCACGAACTACAAACCTGATACGTGAAAATTGAAGATATTATGGAGCTGTTGTCTATCATAATTACCACAACTTAGATCTGTCCATTATGCAATAAATAACAATTACTATACAAATAAATGTATGGAACATTAATTAAGCTTACATCTCCTTCATCCAGATGTACATGCTTCCTTAGCAATTTGGATGAGAAGACCACCCTCTTGTCTGCAGTAGGGCATCCGTAACCTACCAATATTTGAAGATCTTGTCTCGACAATGACCTGAAATACATATTACCACAAGTCACAAACCAAAAACAAACTTGAGAACTTAAAAAAAAAAAAAAATCTGAAAAGAGAGCGGAACTGCTAGGAAATGAATGTGAATGCATAAAATACTTGATGTTCAGTTTCATTGCTTGTTACAATTAAA